AGACCAGTTGGATTGATGTACGATTTGGTTTGCTGTCAGTAACTTAAACTGTCGTTTAAAATTATTTTATCATCTTATTTCAATCATTCTGAAAACATTTGGTATCAAACAGAATTTGTCACGTTCGTGTGTTTCATTGTCAGTCTATACTTGTAGCTAGACTGTGGATTTTTATATAAGTTTATATCTTTGTGAATATTGTGACAAATTATAGAAAATCGTTTTACATATCGGATATCATAGAAATTAGCTATACTATTTATTAACATTACGTGTTATTTATTAATATTATTGTTATGGAAGTAGGAAGACTTTGTCTTATATAATTATATTATATTATATAATTACATAAGTATTGTAATACATATTATATGTAATTATTAATATTAATAAAATAATTAATATTATTAGTATATATTATATTATATTATATTTAAATTAGACATATTATATATACATATATAATAATAATATAGTTATACAAATTATACTATATATAATAACAATATATTATATATTATATTATATTATTATACATAAATTAGACACATATATATATATATATAATATAATTATACATATTATATTATATATAATAATAATATATAATTATATATTATATATTATTAGTATATATTACACATTATATTATACATATAAATACAGTATATATTAAAATTTAGGTAATTAGATAATTTTTAAAGATAATCTTTTAATTCTATTTATCATAATATTATATTTTTTAGATAACTGTTAATTATATACTGTGTTGTTACAGTTGTACAAGTATTACAATACATATGTATTATATTATAAAATTGTTAATATTTTTAATTAGTATACTATATATTATTATATTACATATAAATATAATAACGATTTACTTTGACCATCCACGAGACTTTTTTCTCTTTTTCGTGTTTTAATACCAAGTATTTCTCATGTGTCGAGTAGTTTAGTATAATTAATATCATCTGCCTGTTTCTTATACACCCGACTACTTTCACTCAAAAAAAAAAAAAAAAAAAAGATGAAACGAATTAAATCGGCTTCCTTTCTACGTATAACGTTCGCCTGTTCGCCAATCAAAGCATTCATTCGTAAAGAATTCGCGTGGAGAAGCTTGCCTCACATTAAAATCGCGGAACACCAGAAAAATACATTTCTCTCCGAGAAATAGAAATTGTGAACGTGTAACGTAACATACTATTTATTGCGGAATCGTTCAAATTACGCAATGATGTTGCGTCTCGAATTCTTCGTGAAAAAAAGAAAGCAGCGAAATTTCGTTCGAATTTTTAAAAAGGTCTCGATAGAAAGGTGTAAAAATTAATTCGTTGACATTTTCTTTTGGTAAACTCAATTATCGATAAACCAATGACAACAGTAATGGTTATTGGCAATATGAAGAATAATGTTAATGAAATGTTCAACGAAATTTAATTAATAGAAAATTTTTTAATTTAATTTAATATATTTAATTTATATTATTAAAGTAAATGGAATTTTGGGCATTTAACTCCACTGTGGATTTTGAATTATTCTTTAGGTTAATGATAAAATTTTATTAAATATAAAAAATTTCGAGATCGAGTAATCTAGATTTAAATTGCCATAGTTACCAATTGAGAATCACGATATTAATATTTTTAATTAGTATACTATTTTTAATTAGTATATTTACAGTTTTACGTGTAATCCAGTGTATATCAAAAATATGATTAGAATAAAATTGGCTTTTAAATTCTTTAACATTTAAAATAAACGATGTGATTAAAATTTGTTCAAAATCAAAATACGAATCTCACTTTGGTAAATAAACTAAATTACCTTCGTTCGGGATACGAAGAATTCAAAGCCATTGTTCTCTTACCTGAAAGCAGAAAAAGGAAGTCGTATGTACAAACGTAACGTGCAATTTCTACTAATGAGTTATACAATAATAATGACTAAAAAAAAAAAAAAAAAAAAAAAAAAAAAAAAAAAAAAGATAATTATTCATATTAAGTAACTGATAATTAAAAAAAAATTGCGTCGACACGAGAAAATTCTTTTGTTTGCAGTTTCGATCGTGTACTTGAACAAAACATAAAATATTCTTATGATATCGTTAACATTCCGGCACTTACAATGTGAATTGCATAATTGTATCGAAATCTTCAAGACTGACCACTGTCGTATTCTATACCTGCTACAAAACTGATGTAAATATCTCGCACGCGAAAAATAAAAAAAAATAGACACATTCGCAAAGTAAAAATAAGAATCAAAAAAAAAAAAAAAATTGTCAATACTTTCTCAGCGATTCTCGAATCTTTCATAAATACATAACAACTGCTACCGTGCACATTTTGTTTTGCGCAGACCATGGCGAAAACTAAATTTCGTTCGCCATGTGCGCCCAATGTAAACGTATATATGTTTCTTCCATCCACTGGCCCGCGGTTTATTTACCTCGAAACGACGTTCGCCCGATCTCGAGATACCCCGGCGCGCGATTCATTTCGCACGAGCATGACGTGTTGTTGCCACGGCTCAGGCAGTTCACCGACTGGATGACGTCAGGCCGCCGTGCAGCTCTTTCTCCGGAAGAGAGCGAAACAACGCTAAGTCTGCAGACCTCCCTCCCCCACCTTTTCAGTTCGCAACTGGTCTCGCTGGCACCGGTCAGAAAGTTTCCTCAACTAACGCGATGTATCTAGCGATCCCGTCGAGTTTACTCTCCCCCTGCGAGAACAGATGAAGCATCAACGCTGTGTGCCTCGGACGAGTTCCCCTTTGTGTTGCTGCCGTCTGCTCGAAAGGATCCGCCTCGGTCGCGTCGCGCGCTCGCACTCGACCGGGCCCAAATGTCTTCGAATCCTCCTCAACGAGCCACTGCCACGGGCCACCTCTCTCGCGAGCCACTTCGATTTTCCAGGTTGGTCTGTCTCACGTGTTGGTTTTTTTTTTTTTTTTTTTTTTGAACGTTCGCGAGTGCAATTTCGCCAGTTTGGTCACTTCACGCGGGGGGTTTTTTTTTGCACAGTGGTTTCTTTAACCTTCTAGCACGTTCGAGACGGAGTGTGTAATTTTCAAATAAAGTGTATTTATCTGACTCGATAAAGTGCTCGATATCGGCCAAACGAATAATAGAGTGTGAGGGAACGTTGTCAAGCTGGTGCCGCTTTTAAAACTGTGTATCTACACGGTGTATCGCGATGATGATTATACTCGTCGAACGCAGAGTGTGTGTGTGTGTGTGCAACTGTTGTGAAATTGAAACAAATTGCAAGGAGATGACACTGGTTTCGTTTTTGAGGAATCAATGATTTTATTGTTTTAACCTGATTAACAGAGTATATTTTTGAAATGATGTAAGAAGAACTGGTCGAGTCTGCTCTAATCAATGTAATTCCAAAATGTCTAAGATCTGTAAATATGTTTCGTGAAAAATTTAATTCACAAGTAACAAATTGTAATTACTTTTCTTAGCGTGGCGGGTATTAACACACAAAATAATTGCCGTTTCTTCATTTCCTCAATATAAACAGAAATCAATATTAATTTTGACAAATTAGCGAATGGAATTTAATATTGAAATTTAATATTAATATATTATATTCAATTATCAATTATTGCATTTAATATACCAAGCAGAAATCAATATTAATTTTGATTCAAATAGAAATTGTAAAATAGAAATTCCAAAAAATTGCCATTTCTTCAATATACTAAATAGAAATCAACATTAATTTTGGCAAATTAGCGAATGGAATTTAATACTGAAATTTAATATTAATATATTATATTCAATTATCAATTATTGTATTGAATATACCAAGCAGAAATCGATATTAATTTTGATTCAAGTAGAAAT